GTAAGGCCAGGCATGGCTCCATAAGACCTTCCCTGTCTCCTTTCAAGGGGAAAAGGTGCTTCCTATTTTTTGACTGTCAGGCATAAAGGTTTCAAGAAAAAAATTCACAAGTAGGTCTGATTTCACCACCACCACCTCTCTGTGTTAGTGAGAGAGTCTTTCATCCAGCAGGTTTTATTGGGTAGGAGAAGCTCAAATCTCAAAACCTAAGGGATGTACTTGACCTACAGTACACTAATTTTTGCTTCATTATTGTCAGATTGTGCTGATTTTTGTTTGTTTGGACGTAGACAGTGATAAATGACAGACAAAAGCTTGTTGGAGAAGAAACAGTGTTTTGTCTTTATAAATTTTATAATTTGGGCAGCATCCTTAGCACTGGGTAACGGTCTTAAATAGTACTTTGCGGGGAGGGATAGCTCAGTGGTTTGTCTTTATAAATTTTATAATTTGGGCAGCATCCTTAGCACTGGGTAACGGTCTTAAATAGTACTTTGCGGGGAGGGATAGCTCAGTGGTTTGAGCATTGGCCTGCTAAACCCAGGGTTGTGAGTTCAATCCTTGAGGGGGCCACTTAGGGATCTGGGGCAAAAATCAGTACTTGGTCCTGCTAGTGAAGGCAGGGGGCTGGACTCGATGACCTTTCGAGGTCCCTTCCAGTTCTATGAGATAGATATATCTCCATATATTATTATATTATATTACTAAGTCACTTAACTTTGGCAGTGGCTGCTGCTACTTCCAGCTTCTCACATTGCTGCTGCTTGGGGAGGTGAGAGGTAGGCCCCCTTGTGTTATAGTTTCATAGTTCCAGTGGGACATGGCTGTTAAGAGATCATGTTTGTGGACAGGTAGATGTTTCTTGGGTACTTAGGTGCACTCCCAATTTGGAGATGACAGGCATGGATAGAGGGTGACAAAATCCATATCTGATAGGAAAGGTCTAAACTTCCTTACAAAGCAAAGATGAAAACGATGCAGACGTTTTCATTGCTGCTATCGTGATGTATGCAAGAGAGCTAACAAAATTCCTAGATGGTGAACCTGGAGAAAGAGAAATTGTGAAGATATCATCTCTACTATTTCTTTTGGTCTTTTTTCCAGCTAACCAACATCACTCTGATCCAGACTAGTTTCACACAGTTAGCTGTCACCCAGTCGTAGCCATATACTTGGAAAGCAAGTACTCAGGCCATCTCACTGCCTCTCCTAGTAGTATTGAATAGGTGGGGTAGCATTATGGAGTCTTGTATGAATAATCATCTAAATCAAGCTTCTGCTCTTCTCAGGAACAAAAGAATGGTGGATGAATTTAAGAGCCATTTCTGTGCCATATTCAAGCCTAAACCCACACTAAAAACAGCTGGGGAAGACTGGACTAAATGGATACTAAATTATGCTAGAACTGACTCACCACAACCTGAAATACACAGTTCCTGCACCAAAGAGTTGATAGTCTAAGCAGATCTTCAACAATAATGGAGCCTCCAATCCATTCAAAACTATGCTGCGAAAACTACACTTGTCCGACTCCGCAGCAATGTTGAACTCTCTTATGTCCTTTCACAGACTCCCTATTATTGTCTCCTCAAGATGAAGGAAGTCTGAACGTGACAAAAGGTGTAAGCCTCACCATCCCCATTCTATCATCCCATCTCAAAAACAGAATTTATAACATGACCAGCTGTAGGCATGAGCCCCAATCTACGTGGTTTATTCCTGTGTTTTTTAGAGCAGCTATGAAACAATACAGAAAAGCCATCCGCAATCACCCAAAATAATTAGCAACTGATTCTTTCCTATGTGTCCTCCTTAGTCACCTTCAAAAAATGTGAGGTACAGAAGAGAATCCTAGCAATACTCCCACTTTATCTCTTTTGATCTATAAGCAAGAAGACCACATGCTTGAATAAATCCAATTTTAGTGTGAGAGACTGCCTACATTCCTGATTTAATAAAACCAGGAGAACCACTTTAGCTTGCTGATCCTCCCGTTGCTTATGCTAGACCCCGGGTATCCATCTGGAGACAATTAGACAAATCGGCATACAGAGTAATCCAGTCAGGTTTCATCCACAATTTTAAATAACTGATTGTGTCTTTAAAAATGTACTAGACACCTACTAGCTAGAGGACTAAATCAGCTAGCTGAAGGCAGATATGTAAGAGACGAAGGTTGGGAAGAAGCATCAATAAGGTCTAATGGTAACATCTTAATCCTTATTGCAACCTCTGAGCAACACTGAATTGGTAATCCATAGAGTGCATGAATAAGGACTGCAGGCAGGCTACAAATACCATATAAAACAATAAACCCTATCAACCAGTAAATCCTAACCAGAGACCATCTGTCAGAAATTACTCCTCCAACCTAGTTCCCATTCCTATTTGGCATCTCCCACATAACTTCCTTCCTGTTTAATCTGTCCTAATCTCCAGTGTATATGTACCCTTTTCTCTCCCTATCCACCTAATAGTTCCAGACCCTGTCCAAATGGAGCTTGGTCAGTCAATGTATTTAAAAATTGGGAAACATTTTTGCCAGAGTCCTAGATCAGCCACATTTGGATATGAGTAATAAGGTGTGGTCTCTTTTCTTCTCTAAGAAACTCGGGCAGGAATGTAACGTCAGCGCATCTTAACATTAGTGAAGGTTTCACTGGCTAGAAAGAAGATTGCCAGTCCCTTTCCATGCAAAAACTGCTTGACCAGCTTCTTTGCTTGTTTGAGGCCAACTTAGACTAAGTCCTCCCACATACATTGAACAGCTCTTTTGGCCTATTATGACCTAGTTGAAGGTAGACCTTTTTCTCTACAACTTCTTGTCAAGTTTGTAGGGGCTTGAAACTTTTTCAGCCTCCTGTTATAAAACCTTCTGTGTCATAAAAAGTTATTCTGATCTTGACAAAACTGAAGGAAAAGTTCTTTTTGAGCCATTCAGCTCTTTTCCTAGCCTCAGTAACTTCATCTTGCGGAGTAAATGAGCTTCAGGCCCTTGTGACTTCTCTGGATGGTGTCAGAGTTCCATCTTAGTGAGCCCATCAGCTTCCCTACATTATTCTCATACGTTGATGCCCACCTCAGGGAGGTCCTTCTCTGTACACTGAATGTGAAAATGTCTTTGGAATTCTTACTTGGAGCAGTCTAAAGCAGTTAGAAATTCCAACCGTTATTTTGTTTCTTAATCTGCTGGTTAATGCTGTTAACAAAAGGTCTAGTGGATGTCTGAGTTCATTTCATATTACTATTACCTGGCTGGCCTGAACTAAAAGTCTGGGGAAAGGGTCAGTTGATCAGAGGCAAGGTTATTACAACTGCCTGCCCGGATACAGAGTGTTCATAGACATATGCAAAGCCAATTATGTGGTCTTCTCATCACGCATTTACAATGCATTATTGCTTGTCTTCAGCTGCTGGAAAGGAATCCTATTCCAAACATTTTGCTCCAGAACTTATTTCTAAAGTAAAGCGCTCCCACCTTCAAAAAAAGGTTTTGTTTACATTTTCCAATGTTCCTTATTTGTAGTTTTAGCCGATTTTTTTGTGGAGTTTTTTTATACCTGCTTGCTGTTTACTTCTGCAGTCGTGAATGTTGTATGTGATGTTGCATTTTTAAGAGTCATCCAAGTCCTCATTCTATAGATATGTAGATAGAGATATGAACAAAAATGAAGAAGAAAAAATCCCTTGTTCACATTATTGCTATTGACCGTGTTGCTGCTTGTTACAACTTTGCTCTCATTTTAACTTTAGGGAAGATACTTCAAGCTTTTTATTCTCCAGGGTGAGAATCTTCCAGAGGTTGTAATTTTCCCTCTGAAGATTACCAATTTGTGGAGTTTTATCTCATCGCTCCACCTACCCTCGGAGTTTGAAGGTTATCCTTTTTATGTTTTTTCCTCTTATCTTGTCTGGGTTTTTTTCCCCCTTCTGACACTGAGGTGAAGCTGGGAAAATCCATCTTGCAATAAAGAACTGAAAATTCAGAAAAGAATTGGGTATTTAAAAAGCTAAAAAACAAAAACAAAACAGACCCTACATTTCAGGTCTTGTTTTGCAAAATACAAAAAGATTTGTGATGACTGAAAGTATGGGCTGTAGTGCAAGTAAAGTTTTTAGTTTCAGGGACCCACCAGATGAATGTTCATTTAGAATACCTTGTGGGGAAATTCTGATAGTAATGAATTAGGTTTAATAGATGATATACATGCTATATAATATTTTTATATAGACTTCTTATAATCTACCCCATGACAAGGTGCTGCTTATTTTAAATCCAAAATTATTGGGATTCTACTCTAAGTATACATTGATTTTGTAAATTGTAAACCGTAAATTGACATCTTAATTGTCCAATCAAGTCATTGAAGTTAGAGCATATATATATTTCATTCAAAAATAATATTTAAAAAAATTAAGCTTGCAAAGTGAAGTATTCAGGTTTGGAAATTCATAATACTGACCCTTTGTGTATATGAATTATAGTGCAGTCCTCAACTCTCCCACTGTACTTCTCCAGAAGTGGTAGTTTATTTATTTATTTTTTTTTATTCTCACTGTTCAGTGTTAGTCCCTTAAGCTGTTTGCACACAATCCAAACACCACAGTGAACAGGGCAGAGAGAATCTATGCCTTGTTTGCTACAAAACTCTGCTTTCTTCCCCACCATATACGTGCACTGAATCAAACTGTGTCCTGCAGTAGAAAATGTATTACACTATGCATAAAAAGCATTTCTGGTTATAGAGGAACACTTTAACCTTTATATTTGCTGATTTATGAATGCTGCATGTTATCTTCCATGTTCTTTTAACATTTAACCATAGTCCATGAATATACTGAAAATGTGTTTACAGAATATGCACACACACTTACTTTCATAGGGTAGGTTTGTTGCCTATGTTTGTGTAGGAAAACTGTTTTTCAGGTTTTTTGGGGGATCTTTCGTTTAGAGGTTTATCCTTTCATGTGTATTATTTTTTTTTTCTTTCAATCTGCAGATAAGCCTTTGAAGAAGCGAAAACAAGATTCTTATCCACAGGAGGCTGGGGGTGCTACTGGAGGAAATAGACCAGCTTCTCAGGAGACAGGTTCTGCCGGAAATGGGTCAAGGCCAGCATTGATGGTTAGTATTGATCTTCAGCAAGCAGGACGAGTGGACTCTCAGGCAACTGTAACTCAGGACTCAGACACCATCAAAAAGCCTGAAGAAATAAAACAGTGTAATGATGGATCTGTTTTTATTCCCCAAGAAGACCCTGTTGGCGTTCTTAAATTTAAACCTGAAAACCATCCTGAGACCCTTAGGAAAAAGTCAGATTCTGAGTGTCAAAAGACAGATATTCAACAAAATGAGAGCAAACAGACAGAAGTGCAACAAAATGAAAGCAAATGGATGGAAAGTAAACACAATGAGAGCAAACAGATAGACGCTAAACATGAAAGTAAGCATGACAGCAGACCAATGGATGTGAAACAAAATGAGAGCAGACCGATGGAAACAAAACAAAATGAGAACAGACAGATGGACGTGAAACAAAATGAAAGCAAACAAAATAATGGCAAACAGGACATAAGACAAAGGCCCGAAACTCCAAAACAGAAGAATGAAGGTAGGCCTGAAACACCAAAACAGAAGAATGAAGGTAGGCCCGAAACACCAAAACAGAAGAATGAAGGTAGGCCCGAAACACCAAAACATAGACATGATAATAGAAGAGATTCTAGTAAACCATCTTCAGAGAAGAAACCTGAAATATCTAAACATAAACAGGAAATTAAATCTGATCCCTCCAGGGTAAAATCTGAAAGTAGATCAGATTCAACAAAACAAAGACCAGATGGACGTTCAATTCCTGAGACTCCAAGGCGTGACCATGAGAGCCTTAAACAAAAATCTGAGGATAGGGGCGAATCAGAGAGATATAAGGGAGATCCATCCAAGATCAGAAGACCTGAATATTTGAGATCCTCAAGCAAAAGTGAGCATGACTCCAAACATGGGATTAAATCTGATAGTTCAAAAGCTGAGAAACTAGAAAGAAAACATAGACATGAGTCTGGTGAGTCAAGAGAGAGGTTCTCTTCTGGGGAACAAAAATCAAGACCAGACAGTCCTCGTATTAAACAGGAAAGTAAAGGAGATTCTAGTAAATCAAGACTTGATAAACCTGGTTTTAAATCACCCAACAGCAAGGATGAACGAAGGACAGATGGTAATAAGAGTAAAGTGGATAGCAATAAACCACACACTGACAATAAGGCAGAGTTTCCCAGTTATTTGTTGGGGGGAAGATCTGGTGCATTGAAACATTTTGTTATTCCAAAAATCAAGCGTGATAAAGATGGCAATGTCACTCAGGAGCCAAGGAAAACTGAAATTAAGGGTGAACAAAAGGACAAAGTGGAGAAGATTGGGCTAGTAGAAGATCTAAATAAAGGCGCTAAGCCTGTAGTTGTTCTGCAAAAGCTTTCTTTGGATGATGTACAAAAATTTATTAAAGACCGAGAAGATAAATCAAGGAGCTCTTGTTTTAAACCCAACAAGAACAAGTCATCCAAATCAAATAAAGGTAAGACTCTTTTAAGGTTAATTTGTATTACATTTAGTAAGTTCCCTCTCTTCTTAAATTTTTTTAATATTGCTATTGATAGAAATTGAATACATATTTTTTAAATTTGAGCTAATTGAACTAGCACTAACTAATTATTTCTCTGTTTGATTACATGAGTTGTTTCCATTTGACTCTGTATAATCTGTTATGCAAAGGCTTGTCAATATTAGAAATCTTTCATCGGTGGAACTACACTGATTTATTTACCCCCTGTGCAAATCCCTAATGTAGAAACACTAAATCATGCATAGATACGGTATAAATATGATTTAAACTGATTTAAGTACCTCTACATTAGGGATTTGCAGTGGGGTAAATAAATCAATTTAGTTACACCAGTGCAAAACACGCACGTATAATGCAGCCCTAAGACTTTTTACTATTACTGGAACCTATAGCTTCTTAAAAAATGAATGGAATGATATGATTCAGTAGGGACACCTAGTTGTATTGGGCGAACCCATCTATCCAGTCTACACTATAAATGAGTATTGCGGGAACCCACATACTACTACATGGTTGTCCCTCAATATGCTTAAAGCAGCGTGGTTGTTTTAACATATTAGCCTTGAGCTCAATTTGGACACACCATTGTCCGTCTGATCCCATCTATGCTGAAAGACTGAAGATAGTTTAACTGATATATAACCTGGACTGCTGACATAGTTGAATTCGTAGTGTAGACAGAATCTTACTTGTGTAGCTTGTAGGTCATTCAGTGTTTTTTAGGTGGGTGATTTTTGTATTGAATTAACACTTCATTTAGATGGATGACCAAATTTGTTTCTTAGTGCTCATCTAGATGATAAACACTATAACTCCACATGGTGAAAGCTACCTTACCATCAAGTTAAAAATTATGTTTAAGTGTTTAGATGTTAAATGAATGTAAAACTTGTAGAAGAGTCATAATGTGTCAACATCTATAAGTCTGTCAGGCCACAAAATAAGGATAAATCAATTGTATGGCAGAAGACGCTTTCAAATACATACATTTATACATATGAGCCCATAGCTGCTTAAATAGCTAACTGCTTAATAGCTAATAGCTAGCTGGTTAAATAGCATATCTAGTTGCTCACAGATTCGACATTTAGACATTTTCTTATAAAGCTGCCTTGATTCAGTAAGATGAAGTAATGCTCTTTGTGTGTTGTGCGTGTATGTGTACATAAGTATGGAGATATCTGTGATAAATTTATCACATGGTTTTATAGTTTATCATGCACCTTTCACTGCTACACCTAATCTCTGCTCACAATTTATTTTAGATCTCCAAACTTTTGAGCAGCTCAAAACACCAATTATTTTTTTAAAAATGTCTCCTCTCCAAAATGTGAAATTCACTCCTGCCTCCCCACACAATTATCTTTCTGGGGTTTAGGACCGGGTCTTGCAACAATAACACCTTTCTAGACATGAAAAATCACAATTTTGTGTCTCATATCTCAGGAGCCTACAAGATTAGAAATGGGAGCTTTATACCATTGATGAAGGAATATTCTATGCTTTGTGATGGGATCCAGCACTACCCTTGGAAGGGACTAAGATAGTGGACTTTGAAATCATAATTTTGTCATGTGTATCTATTTTAGATAATTTTTAGAGGTTCTTGCACCCTCTGAGCCCTATGCAGTTTATGTATACCAATATATTAATATTCTAAAAATATTCCTAAACTAGATTTCTGTAATATGTGGCATGTAGAGAACCCATGGTGGCTAAAGGTTGTAATGGCACTTTTTAGTGATGATTAAATTGCCCATTTAGGGATTAATGGCTTTTCCACACATGAGCAATGCATTCATCTCAAACTCTTTCTGATAGAACTTAAACTACCCCTTTTTTGTATTCCATAAATAGAAACATGCAATATATTGTCACTTAGATATATTTCAAAAGTGAAAATGTTTTTTTTCTGTTAGTGGGGGAAAATGTAAATCCCTAAACTAGCATCTGTCAGTTTTTTCAGTTTTGTTTCTAGAATCATATTCTTACAGTATTGGAAATAAGCTCTATGGAGAGACTGTAGTTAAAGTAACTAGATTTCTTTTATAAACCTTTTGACATGTGGCCATCCACATTTTTCAGAAACTGCCTTTGCAGTTCAAATTTTGCATGTGTGTTCTGTTTTAACATTTGAAAATCTTCTAGACAATCTGTTTCCATGATGTGTGATGCTGAATAATTTGGTGTAATTCAGTGAAATTTGAAAACACTCATAACTAGAGCTAAAAGTCTCACTTGGCAGCTGCTGGCTGAAGATTCTGCCTAACCAGTGTGAAAAATACTTTTGCCATTTCCCCAAAACTACTGCTTCTCCAATTTAAAGGAATTTATTGTTCTGTGTTTATTTTGTACAACATTTAATTTTGAAATTTTGTCAAACATTCTTATAAACGTAACTTTCTATAGCACTCTTGCTTTCATTTATTCCTTACTTTCCTGCATGGTTTCACTCAGCTTTTTTCTCTTCTATCATATAATAGGTTGTGGTGAGTCTTTTCCATTGTCTTCAATGTTCATTTTCTTTTCCCCCACTAACTTTCATCTATTTCTCTTACTTTTCCCTCATGGTGTTCTGCACCTCCTTCCCCATATTTTCCTTGTCCTTTCTTCTTCCATTCCTACTGCCCAAGAAACCTCTCATAAGCCTGTCTATGCACACAGGTTGCTCTGGTTTAATTTTTAAACAGATTTTGTTAAACTGCTGCAAAACCCTATTCTGTTTGATTGGTTTATTTTGATTTAGCTTAAAATTGTTCCTAATCAACTTAAGCTGACCTAAAATAAACCTGGTTTCAACTGAAATAAGTGTCCAAACAGCTTTTAGCAGCAGTCAAATTAAATACATTAAAAAATCACACCTTTAGTTACACTGGTGCAATTTTGCATTTAAACAAATCCTTAGTGGCATGCAGATTTTTCTCCATCAATCTTTCTCTCTGCTTCACAGCCATCCCCGGTACAAGGGCTTGTGAAATTTTACCAGACACCTAATAGAGGAATAAGCCTGTTAGCCAAAGACTTAAAAAATATGGGCATTGCTGGGAAAGAGGAGGTTCCTTGGATTCTCCAACAAGTTGTTATTCTGAACCTTGATTTGGGATCGCTGTTTTCATATAGGCCTCTAGGTAGTAGGCCATTAATAAATTTGAATCATCCCTCCAATTCCCCCTGGCTGTTTAAAGGAAGAAGGAACATTTTCTCTGTTCCATTCACAGATTGAATGTTTTTCTAAAAGATATGCTCCAGCTCAATTAGAAGTTATAGGCTTGATGCAGGCATCACATGGTGAAATTCTATGACCTGTGTTATTCAAGTTGTAATAAATTACTATAATGTTCTCTTCTGGTCTTAAAATCTGTGAGTCGCTCATCTTCCCCATTCTACTCCAAAGCCTCTTACTGCAAAGGTGGGTTGTGTGGGGGTCTCTGGTACTCTTCTTTCTCCTCAGTTTTCTGGCTGCAGTGACTGGGTTATATCTGCAATCCTTCCTCTACCCAGACTCCAATTCTTAGTTCTCTCCAGTGTCTGCCTCTGTTTCTGCTCCTAGCTGTGTCAGTCAGCTGCAGCATGAAATTGAGCTGATTCGTGTCAGTTTCCTGGCTACTCATAGAATTTGGAAAGGAGCAGTTTTCCCTCTGCAGCAGCTTGCCAAAATAAAGAGCAGCCACAGAGGAAATGGAACTGTCTGCAGTCTTAAGAAGATATTGGTGAATTCACTCATTTCATGTTTGGAAAATAGTCTTTGCCACCACAACAAAAATAAATTTAATTATTTTGAAATAGAGGCTTCAGTTCTGTAGAAGCTAATGCTGGCTGACAAAAGCTTCTTACTCTCCATAGGACAAATGGGATTTTTTTTTTTTTTTTTGGAGACTTGTGTAGAATACCTTTTTTGGGTCTTGTCATATCGTATACGAGCTTGTCTTAAAAATTTCAGTGGTTTCACCGAAGCATCTTTGATAAAGTCTAGTGCAGAGGACCATTTCTCATATTTAGACCATTTTAGGATTAATCAGCATGGATATTTGTACTGAATGCTGTCAGATTCTGGCTAGATCTACAAAGGGGATTTTAACCACTCCCCAGAAGTTTCTATTAACATACACTGTTAATACTCTATGCAGCTGTTCTGTGACTGTATTAAAATTGCATCATCTTACTTAAAGCTGCTCCTTAAGTGTATTCTTCTTACAGAAGCAACTAAAATTTTTTTTACTGATACTTACTCCCACTAACACTGCAGAGCCAATATAATACTTATAGAATCACAGAACTAGAAGGGACCTCGAGAGGTCATCTAGTCCAGTCCCCTGCACTCAAGGCAGGACTAAGTACGGTAACTCCTCGCTTAACATTGTAGTTATGTTCCTGAAAAATGCGACCTTAAGCGAAACGAGGTTAAGTGAATCCAGTTTCCCCATAAGAATTAATGTATGGGGGGGGGGTTAGGTTCCAGGGAAATTTTTTTCACCAGACAAAAAACTATATATTATATAGATATACACACAGTATATGTTTTAAATAAACAATTTAATACAGTTCACGGCTATGATGATTCTGAAGCTTAGTTGAGGTGGTGAAGTTAGAGGGTGGAAGAGGGAGGGATATTTCCCAGGGAATGCCTTACTACTAAATGATGAACTAACACTCAGCTGCGTTAACACATTGTTGTTAATGTAGCCTCTCACACAAGGCAACACGAGGGTGGGGAGACAGCATAGCAAGACAGACACATACACACCTTGTGTGTGGGAGAGAGAGAGAGATGCACACTGCCCCTTTAAGTAAGCTGACCCACTCTTAAGTGCATTGCTTTTTAAGTGGATCAGGAAGTTGAGACAGCAGCTGCTGCCCCAAGTTCTCTATGCCTCTCTCCCTAGGTGTCCCCTCGTTGCTCTATATGGAGAAGGTGTAAGCAGGGTGCAGGAGCATGGGGAGGGGGACACCCT